CTGGTGACAGGGTAATCTGGGACACTGTTGAAATAAAACTCAATTTTAAAATATTTGAAGTGTGCACTGTGCAGAGTGCACTCATCCATTACTAACAGTACTCTGAAGTCCTCCTCTATCATTGTAGATGATGTAGATGTTGAATAAATGACATTTTCTGTGTTTTTTACTTTATTACTCCTTTATTGATTCATCACATATCATTCATTACCTTATGATATCATCACATTCATTCATTACCTTATTATTGATGTGATATTAGTATGGTACTCGGGTACTGTATTCATAAACATGCCATTGAACATTTACAACAACCTTGTCCACTGCAAGCTTCATTTCAGCAGCCGTATACCATTTCTTCTTTATCTGTAAGGCTGCAGGACAGCTTGTAATTTCACATCATTTTAATTGGATTAACCCTTTCACGGGTAAGTTACCATATATGATCACTTGAAATCGCGTCACAAAAAGCCTCACCACGGCTTCCTGTTTGTTTTTGAGGCATCCTTATAATGCCTCAGTCAATCACTAATTATCTGACCATCGTTCTATCTATACTTATTCTATAGCATCACCAGCTGCACAGTCCACAAATTGAAATATGAGCATTTAAATGAAGGTTTTGACTCGGACAATGGAACTGACGCTCTTTCTGCATTTTCTTCAAAAGGTGGAGGTATAAATATATATATTTATTTTGGCAACTTGATTAAATTTAATTAAATTAAATTTTTATGTTTCTAATTTTTCATTTGCATAAACAGAATTTTAATTATAAAGAAAAATTTTGTGTACTGATCGCATTTATTGAATTCTTCAAGTGCGATTTAAACCTTCAATAGGCAAAATTTGCAAAAATTCATAGAAATGAATAGTATATTGTATAATACTTCTTACTTTCTTGAAATAGTTTCTGAAATTTTAATTTCTGTATATTTCAATGCTTGCCTGCTAAAGGGTCCCGGTTAAGTGAATTCACTATAAAAAAGATTGTAAAAACATACCTGAAACAGAAAGGAATGTTTTAGTAACAACCATCATATGTTTTGGAAAAATAAATCATAGTTTAGGTTAATTACTTTTCATTCTATGATGCCCAGTGCACAATTCTATATATGACATTCTGTGCACAATTTTGTGATGACCGATGATGCATTAATTTTTTGATAAGTGAAATTTTTTCACTGAGCAAGGTAATTGTAATCAAAATCCTTTGTTAATAAATTTTATTGTTAACTGGAGCCTTTGCTAACTGAGGTTGAACTGTAAATGGGTTTTTAGGTGTGTTCCTTATTACCCCAGGGAGGTGTCCCTCATTACCCAGGGGGGTGTCCTTTATTACCCTGTTGTGCGGAAATGGCTGCCATTTTTTTTTTTTGGAATGAGATATGCATATTCCATCAATCGAGTTTTCAAACCAACACCTGTGTGCAACTTTTCTGCAAGTAAAATTTTTTAATAAGGCAAATATTTTTTGCTCCAGACCTTAGTAGAGGTACTTTTTCAAAATATCACTTTTCACACTTTTTTTCAGCTATTTTTTAGAGATAGTAAATGTATGATTCTTAACTAGCTTTATACATAATCAATACCGTCAACCGGGACTACTCGGGACAATTTCGAATGTTTTTCATTCATAACTTCTTACCATGAAACATTTCATAAACAAGCTTAGGCTCATTTCAAAGCTCTTTGCGAGGGCTATCACATGGCTTATCCAAAAAAAATCCATATGCTATTTGGAAGGTGCCAGAAGCAAAAAAAGAGTGTCCCGAGTAACCCCGTCAAACGGGGCTACTCGGGACACTTGGAATAAAACTTTTTAAAACATTTGAAGCATGCAGAGTGTACTCATCCATTATTAACAGTACTCTGAAGTCCTCCTCTTTTGTTGTAGATGATGTAGAGGTAGAATAAATGACATTTTCTGTGATTTTTACTTGTTTTTCCTTTATTGATATATTGCCATATACATCAATTACAGTATTATTGATGCGATATTACCGTATCCATGAACATGCCATTGAACATTTACAACAACCTTGTCCACTGCAAGCTTCATATCAGCAGCCTTATAGAATATTTTCTGTATCTGTAAGCTTACAGGGCGGCTTGTAATTTCACACCATTTTAATTGGGTTAAGTGAATTTACTATGAAAAAGATTGTGAAGAACAAACCTGAAATAGAAAGGAATGTTTTAGTGACAACCATCATATGTTTTGGAGAAATAAATCATAGTTTAGGTCAATTACTTTTCATTCTATGATGCCTGGTGCACAATTCTATACCATATATATGACATTCTATGCGCAATTTTTGATCGAGGTAAAGTTAATCAATATTCCTTGTTTTTAATCAATTTTTTTCTTAACTGGAGCCTTTGCTAATGGAGATTCTACTGTAAATGCATTTTTGGAGGTGTCCCGTGCGGAAATGGCCGCCGTTTTTTTTTTGGATTGAGGTGTGTAAATTCCGCAAATAAAGTTTTCATGCCGACACTTGTCTGCCAATTTTTTCTAAGCAAAATTTTTTAATACGGCAAATATTTTTTTTACTACAGTCTACAGACCGCAGCAGAAGTAACTTTTCAAAATATCGTTTTTCACCTTTTTTTCAGGAATTTTTCAAAGTTAATAGATGTAGTACCGGTACTTTTAAACTTCCTTTATACTACATAGATAGGAAAAATGTTGACGTTTACGCCACTATATTTAGTTTTGCAATATTCCAATTAGTTTTGCTACTAAAACAGTTTTATGCCGTGTTAGAGGACTATTCCGAGTTACCCCTCGCGTCCTGAGTAGCCCTGGTTGATGGTAGTAAAAATGTTGAAGTTTACACCACTATTTTTAGTTTTGCAATATTTTGATTACTTTAGCTGCTACAACATTTCTGCCAAATGTGGGACGCGCTTCCCGATTTACCCCGCCCATCCCTTATTACCCTGTTTGACGGTAGTCACTTATCCGTAACTGACCAAGTTTTCTGATGAATATCTTCTCAAATAAAATAAAAAATATGTTAACTATTGCATAAAATGTTCAAAATTTCATCAATACCATACCAACGAAGTTTTCCATAGTACCACACAAAATGATTCTTCAACTTCAATTCTTTAATGGTATATGGCATATCATAATGGCAGTGAACATACGATGATAAGATGTCCCTTGTCCCACTTCCTGTTTGGGTAATGTCAAATTTGATTTCATAATAAATTTATTTGATCCACACTGAGATTTATATGATGGAAAAGGTTTCAAAATATAAATGCCTCTTTGTACGCATCCAGATTTAATTTTTTCATGTTTTTTGCTCTATTTTGTAGATATTGTCCAACTAACTTCACTTCAGATTATGAATAATTTCATCTCCCATGGTGAATTTTTGAACATTTCATGTCTTTTAGAAAATGCTGGTTTTAGAAGCAGCCATTATTTTATTTTTATAGATCAGAGCACTTAGTCATGGGACATGTGGTGTATTAAAATTTAATAGCGGGGATGCTTTTAGAATTCATAATGAGATGTATAAATTATTTTAAAGATATATAGAGATTAACACAATGCAAAAATTGATGATCAGTTATTGTTATCAGAAACATGATTTAAAATGGTTTTATTTATGGAAACAGCACCTAAACAAGTAAGCAAAAGGTAATTGTGATTTTAATGCTCAATGTTCGCCAAAGGTTATATGACTAATCAGTGACAGAACAATGCAAGGCTTTTGCAGCTAATCAACACTCAGATCGGTTGGCATGTGTTTCTACAGCTGCAATCAGTTAAAAAGCATTGTGGTAATGAAGGTAAAATTGTTGTCCATACATCCCAAATTAAATGATGATGAATGGATTGGGAAAGTAACTTCTATGGTCAATGGAGTCTTTGAAACAACAAAAGGCTTAGATGTAAAATATTTAGGAGAGTGCAAACCTTGAAAGAGTTGTTAGAAAAAATTTGTTTCTTGGTATAAAGCTCCAAATATATTTTAAACCTTCATCAGAAATTATGCAAATGTTAATTAACTTGAGCTAAATATGCAGTAGGTACATGGAAGGCTTTAACACTACAATGTTCATTCCTGTTCAAAACTACATCAAAGAGATCATCAGTGATGCTGGAAAATTGACCAGTAATGTTTCTAATATGAGATAGTTCAAAGTTGGCAAGTGTATATTGAAATGCACTGCCCCATTGCCAACCATAATCCGGAAAAAACTCGGTTGCGCAGGTGCTTTAATTGTATGAACATGTATGTGATTTTGCTCCCTCAAATAGCTTTCGCAGTGTTCATCGTGTTAAACTATTATTGGTGGCGTGATTCGTTTTTGATTCATGAATGTTATTTTATTGTATTTGACTTGACAAATTGATTATGAACAATTAATTAGTCTACTTGAAATTATAAAGTGTTGCAACCTTCATTCATGACTCTTTCTAGTGCAAATTTAATCCCTCCTATTTTTATCCATTTTATCTGAACTAAAAATTTTGGATCATTTTAGTGGAGGATGTGGATTGAAAATATATGAACAATCATTTTTAGAATTCCATCCTGTAATAAATCACACCACCAACAAGAGTTTGATATGATGCACACCATGGAGGCCATTTGAGGGAGCTAAATCACATCACAATAAAAGCCTGTACGCAATTAACTTGTACCGAGCTGCAGTTGCTGGTGCGGCAGTGCATTTCAATATGCATTTGCATGATGAAATTCTCTAGTTAATATAAAAAATGTGGTATTTTGAGATTTTGAATTGATCATCAATGTTTATGCACTGGTCCACAACACACTAGCACCACCTCTCATCAGACATAATTGCATACTAAATAAACATGATACTACAGCATTTGTCAACAACAACAACGAAAGTTCAAAGGATCAACTGACAAGAAATTTGAAATGATGATATATTTGCAATATAATATTGTCTTGTTATCATATGTAGGTACTTAATATTTCAATGTTGTACTAATATTTCAAATATGCTGATGAATAAGTTTATAATAAATTCTCCCATAGATTGATCAACTTGTGAATTATAAAAGTCCTATATATAGTAGATAATATTTGCACTGGAACACCCTGAATATGGCTGATGATGCTGAAAATATTTCTCCGGATGAAGGAGGTGTGCCATCTAATCACGACTCCAGTGATGATGCCAGAGCATCTCCTGAGTCTGAGTCATTGGCATCAAAACTTGGTAAGTAATTTCTTGGATTGTCAAGTTATTACCTTAATAACTGCATTGACTTCCATTGAGAGATTATCAGAACCTTATTTTGTATTTCTAAATCATTCCTCTTTTCTGCTAAATACTGTAAATCAGAAACATGTTCTTCAATTGGTTACTTGTATTTTTTATAGTTTTATTTCAACACTTGCTAATACACATGAACAAATTTGTTTCTTTCTGCAGAAAATAATGGAGAAGCTGATGATGAGGCAACTGAAGAATTGGTTATACTGGATGTTGATGCTGTGGTAAGAAAACTAATTGCACTTGATTTTTTGTCACCTCCAAATTGTTTCTGTATACTTTTCTTGAGCATCATTAATAACATTTCTGTGCAATTTTTTTGTTGTTCAGCGCCAGCTATAAATTTGGCTAGAGTAGCTCAATTCTATTCATGGAAATTATCAAATTAATTTACATAAATTGATAGTTTATTCTAACTGATGTTTTGTATGAATGCATCATTTGATCAATAATTTATAGTTATCCTTGATTATTTTTCATCATAAATATTCTTTTAAAATTTAGGCTGGAACACTTGTTGCTTAATACTTGTACATCCAGTAATTTGTTATGTGTATTTTTCCATTACAATTCTGTGCATTTACTGTTTTGTCTTTCTTAGGACTTGGATTTGAATCACAGACGTATTGCAAAAATAGAAAACTTGGACTCCTTGAAGCTCGTGGAAACAATTTCTCTTCGATGGAATCTCATCAAGAAAATTGAGAATTTGGAGAGTCTGTCCAGCCTACGAGAACTAGAGCTCTATGATAATCAGATCACAACTATTGAGAACCTATCTTCCCTCGTTAACTTAGAGTGAGTTATGATAGAAACGATAACTTGTTCACTCTACTTGGTGCTATGCTCACTACATTATAAAGTTATTGATTTACTAGTTAGTTATAGATTTCAAACGACCAAGCCATTCTAAGTGATTTGCTTGATAAAAATAACGAAAAATTTGTGATTAGGAAGATTTATTTAATGTTAATTCATTAATGTATTGTCTTCGGCCTATTCGAGACAATTGTATCGCGGTTTTGTTGTAATACACATTATTATTTTGTCGACAGAGTGTTGGACATTTCCTTCAACCGCATCAGAAAAATCGAGAATTTGGAGGGCCTAACAAAACTTAAGAAGCTGTTCCTGTGTGCAAACAAAATCAGCAAAATAGAAAACGTAAACCACTTGCAGCAGCTGGAGTTGTTGGAGCTCGGCGACAACAAGATAAGGGTAAGTACCTTAACTTTGCTTGGCAATGGAGAAAAAGTGAACGCCTCCCAGTCTCATCTTGACGAGTACGAGAGCAGAATCCTAACTCCCTTTACTGACAAGTGACTGGTGGCAGGTTTTTTCATACTCGACTTGAGTATTTTGCAAATTTTGTCCGCTTATTTAGTAATCATTAATTTATTGTATGTTTGTATTGAATATTTATTGTTTTGAATGCACGTGTTTTAAATCTTTGTTTTTCAGACTATAGAAAATCTGGACGGACTGGTGGGTCTAAATTCACTTTTCCTAGGCAAGAATAAGATCACTAGGCTGCAGAATTTGGACTGCCTCCTCAACCTGAAGGTCTTGGGCATCCAGGTAAGGCACGAGTAGAAACGCTATTTGTTGGAATTGCAAGCTGAGGTACAGAAGAGTAACTTTCATAGATAATACAAATTTGTCTTTGTTACTTCAGGGTATTGAACACGATGCACTGACTCCAATACGAATTGCTGGAAATGTTTTTAATGATGGCATCATAATGATTTGGTGTGCAGAGCAACCGTATTACCAAGATCGAGGGTTTGGGGCGGCTGGTGTCGCTCGACCAGCTCTACTTGAGCCACAACGGCATTCAGGTCAGAGTCGCGTTGCTAACATCAAGTTCTTAGCGAGAACATAACTTAATGCACGCTCTTAGTTCCTCAGTATTTAAACTTTTTTTTAGATTATGCGTAATGTTTCAATATTTTATTTCTTCAGCAGAAATTTATAGCTATTCCTTGGGAAATGCTTCCCAAGATATTGAAATATCCAAAATTTTTAAAATTCAAACTCGTTTCATAGATATGGATAACATTTTAGACAACGGCAACATTTTGCTGGTGAAGAATTGTGAAGATGAATTTGTTTCAGATTTTGGAAGGGCTGAACAACAACACAAAACTGAACACTCTTGACCTTGCCTGCAACAGGATACATAGGATCGAGAATATCAGCCATCTTGTGAACCTCGAGGAGTTCTGGGTTCGTAGTTCACGCGTTCCATTATTGTCTTTTAGATTGTGTAGTTAGCTCTTGATCTACTTATTCAACTGAACCGCTCAGTCAAATCAACGTAAATTATTTGTTGAGTGACTATCAAATTTGTACCTTATTATCTAGATGTAAAATATTTGTAACATAATTGATTCGATTGTATATGTTCATGACGATAACTAATTGCACGGCGTTGTTAGGAGACTCGTTCAACCTTGTTTGTTATGGGCAGTTCAACGGCAATGCAGTGTCTGACTGGAAGGACATAGATGAGCTCATCCCTGCAAAAGGGCTGCAGACCGTCTACTTGGAAGGCAATCCCATTCAGCAAGACCCCAACTACAGACGCAAGCTTAAGCTGGCGCTGCCTTCTCTCGTGCAGATCGACGCTACGCTCTGCCGCTGAGACTTGCCCCAACGGTCTTCGATTTCTCGGTCGCTAGTACCCACTACTGTATTTCGACGTTGACGTTAGATAGTTACTAATGACAAGCAAAAATCAATGGCAGATGTTGTACGGAATACAAATTATTCGATCGTTATTTTCACCAGATGCTCACAGCAGGATGCTACTCTCGCTTATCTTGATTCTTGCGATTTTGTCGCTGTTAATAGATCCAAAAAAAATTCCCGGCATCAAAGGCATCCAATATATTTTTTTTTTCGTGGTGCATTTTCACGTTTCCTTTTATGTGTAACTCTTATTTTTATTTTTTCTCCTTTCGCATGATTCAGGTTAACTTTTTACGAACGATTACGATTGCACTCACCATAAACGGTGAACCTTGTGAAGAACTGATGCATTCCTACGCGGTGTTTAGTATTTTGCTCCGACAAGTATTCTATTGTTTATTTTGTTCAAATTCGTGCTTTGCAAAGTCCCATTTTATTATTTAACCGTTTGTTCTTCCATCCACCAACGTATTTTTGCAGTGAGTGGCAAATGTACGATCTGAAAACTAAGAATGAAGGCTGTGAGGCAGTAAATAGATTTTTCTCGCATGGAATTCGAATGTCTTAAAAATAGTTCGAACTTGTAACATTGGTCGGCACCGTTGTTTGATTGCACGTTTTGAGGAAGCTAGTCCATTTACGTTATACATTGTTTGAATTTACTTGACTCCATTTTGGTGGCTCAGAAGGATAGTAATTTTATTTATTTATAAGTTTAGCTTGTTTGTTTTATATCATGATCTCATGCGGATTATTCTTTCTTATTCAAAATTTGGGCCAACAAAGAAGATTAAACAGAAAAGCCGTCGCTTACTTTGGTCACTCTAAGATATCATACATACCTATCACAATGTTAGACAATAGATTGAAGTCTCTGGCTCGATAGGTCAGCAATGATATGAATTAGTAGCTATGTTTCTTAAGCTAGAACATTCGCTTATCATGTGTGCTAATCTTGGCTCAGTGTGGCGGATTCCCGTTACTGACGGGCACCCATAATCGTTGCATCTGGCGGATCGTAGTAGAAATTACCTGTTATGAGTCATACCAGCACACTTGAGCGTTGGCGATATTTCGAGCTTCTTTCTAGAACTGCAACATTTGATATTTATCATTCAGAAAGTTCTAGAAGGTTCCAGAATGTTCTAGAAGGTTCCAGAATGTTCACTTTGAAATAGTAGGGTATGAAAACGGCTTTTAGCATTACACGATCTACATTTTATTTACAATAATAAAATGACGTACATGACAGCAAGCGATGCGCGTCCACCCATCAGCAAGTGAGGCGTTGTGTGCAGCATAAGGACTCAGAATTAACTGTTGACGCTCACTAATTCGAATATAATCATGTGGTATTTATTTTAATTCAGGATAACTAACCTATCTTTTGCTTCTCAGTTATAATTGAGATATATGCCGTTTGTAATGGCCGAAATATTCTTCACGTTTTCGAATAAAATCAATGGTACAAACTAATAGCTGCTGTACAGATTTTTCCTTTATCATGATTCAATCAGTCTCGACCATGTATTAGCTACAAGTTATTCGAGATTATATTAACCCTTCCGCCAAAGTAACTTATGCGGCACGATAGCGCTGTTACTGTGTTAGGAAGCCTAGAGGTATTCTGTATTTTCACCAGTTCACGATTCTTATTACAAATAACAAAGCTATCAGTTTTATGATGGTCAATGATCACACTCGGTGACATTTTACATGTAAAGCAGAAGCTACAGAATATGACTAGCAAATGACGAAAGAACTCATCATTTCAGTACATGCTGAACCTTTCATGGAATATTCTACGATGACGACAAATGATTTCACGGAAGGAAAGAACCGACCAAAATGTATTTCTGTTCGCCCTGAAAACGAAACCTCCAATCGCAGCATAAAAAAAAAATAAAATTGCAAAGCACAATCCCGTGAAAGACAGCAATCCAGTAAACATAAAAATATCGGAAGTATATCAACCGTCGTTTCCGTTGTAGGTGAATAAATCTTGTGGACGGTAATATGCAAATGTGGTACGAGAATATTGCAACACGTATTTTCAAAAATGTACGATGAAAAGAAGACAAATTTAGTGTAGAATACCAGTGCAGGCGTCATCTTCGCTCAGCATTAGGTCTATAAAAACTAAGCTAGACACGTAGACCTGATACTTGATATGGTTAAGTTCATTCACTTCATTGTGCAAATTACGTAACACCTACATGCAGCAACGCCTTCATTTACATGTAAATAAGACTTGTAACGTATTGCTTTGATTTAAGGATTCGTGAAGAGCATCCAGCCTTCGTGAAGAGCAAGAGCCTCCTACAGCAGTAGTGCAAAAATATCTCGTGTAATGAGCTCTGAAAAATGCTTCGAATTCGAATGAAAGTCGAGATATACGCATAAAGGAGTCAGTCGATTATAGGAAAACGGAGGAAGAAACTCTACGAGTGCGTTAATACAGATATAGAATTTAATAACAAATCTCTCATTAATAAAATGAACACAGTATTGCATGTACGTAAATATCCGTGGATTAGTAACTATCATTTCAATTCTAGCTGAAATTTTTGTATACATCCCACACGCTCACGTTATAAGGCTGCACGTAACGCAATTTATCAACAGTTCACACGGCTAGTAGAAGCTGCCAGATGTTTCTTGTGACTCGAAGAGAATCTCAGTTCATTTACATATTACCTTGTAACAGAGGTCAAGATTAAAAATTAAGGGTTAGCATACACAGTTGCAGGCAACAAAGACAGGGCCAGCATTACAGTGGCTGATGATTAGAGTAGTGAAGACTATCTACTTCACCAACGAGACAGTTAAGTTAATTAAATGTTGACTCAATGACTCGCGTTAATAGTAGGAGCTCCAACGAAGATTAAGACTCAGTACTAGACAACTATTGATTAAATTAAGTCATTTAAAGCTAACTCAATGTACACGTCGAGCTATTTACAAGATCAAACTTTGCAAGAATTATGATTCATTATTGTTATTAGCAAGCTTCTACGCACAAATATAATGCCTATGCGATTGAGGCAAAACAAAGGTTCAGTCAAGCATGCTACATTCGTGGGAATGCTAAATCAGAATACTGTTAATTATCCTGAGAAACTTGTTCTACGGACTCGCATTGGCTCCTATTCCTTTAGAGAGTCTACCTCTAATTGATTAAGTCCTGACGGTATTTAGTACAGCTAACTTGCAAGGCGTGAATGTAGAAAAAAAAGAAAACGGTGGAATGGCACATGAGGATTTTGGTTTTCACAAACGTCACCATCAGCTGACTGAAAAGGCAATAAATGATGCAAATAAATTGAAAGCGATACTTCTCTGCGCGCAAAACTAAAGATGCCACATAATGCATCGCGAGATGAATTGATATGAGAGTCGACCCTTCGCAAAAGTTAAAATTTATAGTCTAAGAAAATTGAGAACCGAATTGCACCCTCATTCGGGTTGCATGTTTGCACACAAAATATGGAGACGACGACCAGGTCATGCGGAACACAAGTTCAGAAGCCTGTACCATCCGAAAGTAAATAAATTATAAGAACAAACTAGAAACAATAGTGTATGTATGCAACAGCAACATTCCTTTCTACAGATTTGTAGGAATGTAATATAATCTACTGTGGATTTTACAGTCAATTCTTACCACAAAAACGCATGGCAGAAACGCATGCACTAAATCCATGAATGAATAACAATTTCGTTAAATGAGATATTAGAATTATGAAATTAATGTCAAACAGTTATTGACCATTTCGATCATACAATGAAGAACTGTTAATATAAGACGTAATTACTGGCCACTCACCAGCAGAATTCCTTCTGTCCTAAGACTGAAATCCTTTGCCACGTGAATGACTTGCTAAGACACGAATAGGAGTACTGATAATATACTACTTCTATCTTGATAGCTACCGTCCCAAAACAACGCAACGGTACGGATACCTCAGTGCTAACAACTGCTGCAAAAGTTGCCGCGTTGCACGAGCTGCCATCCAGATTTCTTCCAAGCTCGCATCGCTTTCATAATTTTTAAAGTGCCACACGGACATGGCATAGCTACCTAGCGACGCTTGCAGTCAGGGACTAGTTCACAAAAACTACACTTTACTCGCACTGTATGCGCTTATCCAATGGATCCGAAATACATGATAATGGCAGGTATGAGATACACTGTGACGGCTTTAGTGAAAGTCATGTCTTCCTTGGCCACCCCAGATGGGGGATTAACATTGGGGTGGATATCGGGATCGCTGTAATGTGGTGGTCGATCGGGGCGATATGGAGAATCGTAATTTCGGTTTCGGTGGGTGGAATAATCGTTATCTCGAGTTCCCGAGCCTTCGTAAGGGTTATCGTAACGTGGGTAGCTGCCTCCGCCTCTGGACATGTCGTTGCCGTGGTGATAATTATTGCGCCGAGTGGTATGATCGCCGTAGCCGTTCAAGCCGTCGCCGGAACTCGCTCCGTTGTATCCGTCCTCGTCGTCAGGAGGGAAGTTACGGTCCATGGACGTAATGCTGGGACGGTTACTGTTACGGTCACGACCACGAGGCGACCCGTGCACGGTTTCATCGTCACCCCAGCCATCATCGTCAGCCCAGTCACCGCTGCCACTGCCATGGTCGCTCATCGAGTAAAGGGAGTCATCGTTGACACGTTGCTCTGCACAAATATATCAAATATAAGAATTTCGAACCTCAATTAAAGCGAATGAAGAGCCTAGGTTACCAAAAACTTAGCATTATTGGGCATCCAAAAAATTTTACTACAGCAAAATAACTGGTAGGGGAGTGCAGAAAAAACATTCAAAATTGCAACAACCCTTTGACCCCAGATACGAAGAGTGAACTAAAACTTAACTCCAAACCTAATTAGGAGGAGAGGAAACGCGAAGTAGGAAAGCCCACGCAGAGCACGAAATTCAGCTCCTAAGTTTCCTTCAATTAATTATTTTGAACAAAGGTACTTCTTACTGTAAAAAGTAAAGGGACATCAAATCTCAGAAGGGCATAAATTCTAATCGAATTTTGTTAAATCGACCGTTTGAGGTGTAAGTAAATTCTCAAAAAATGTAAGATCGGGGTTGGCAAAAAAATCGGCATCAGCACCTTTCTACACAAATTTAATACATACAACGTGTACAAACAGCTACGTATCAAAAAAGACGAAGCATGGAAAGAGAACAGCGACAGAGATGGAGGATACCGTACAAGAGATACTTTCGTGCCACGCCGGCCGCCCCTATAAAGACGCAAGAGATGGAAGAGCAAGAAATTTTGCGGAAAACACGCAGCCGCATCCGCATTCTATGTGACAAATTCATCATATAGAATGGGAGAATGACATAAACGAATTATAATTTGTTTTAGTGCCCTTAGTTGCTAGCGCTTCAGATCGAGCTATCTCGAGCCGAATGTCGCGTTGGTCGTCATGGACTAAGATTTGGGTACATCACATGTTTTATGGTATATCACATGCCGGGTTATATGCTGTCGAACATATTTACCGCCCTTAAGTATTCAATGAGTCTAGGCAATCCATACAATTATGTGCAGGCGTGCGTTCCATGAGGTGGCCAAGGGTGATTCTGGTATGTCCGATGCGAAGGCGGGTGAGGCATGCCTCCACCCGGCACACGTGGTGAGACGAGGACGGCCAATGCCTTACACACTCTTCAATTTTTCGGAGTTTGTTATTTTCGAGGCGCGTCCATTCTCCCTGCCACTCATCCAGTAGTCTCTTGCGGAAGATATGGTAATGATCCCGGTAGGAAACTTCCATCATTCCAATGTGGCGTCTCTTCAGGCGTACACTGAGTCGGATAAGCCATCTATGTATGGCGGTCGCCAGGGGATGCGGCGAGTTGTAATGTAATAGCGCTTGGATAGCACTAGTCGCTGAAGTTGCGAATTATAGGAGAGTGGTTCAAAGAAAATAGTGCTCGGAATGCAAAACCAACATGGAAGCAAAGACACGCGCCCTACGAGCTCGATTCAGCAATTTACATAAGATTAATCGAATGAAGTTCATCTAACAATTTTCGATAGTGATAGCATTTGTCCGGCGCAGAGGACAGTAAAGCAAGCAGTTGAGGTCGTACCCTCGAGGTAAGCGATGTCCTGGCCGTTAGCAGCGGCCTGCAGCAGACGTGTGATGCCCTGCAGGCGATACGTCTGCTCGTGAACGCCGGCGTGTGGAGGAGGAGGCTTTAGTTCCGGCAGCGGCGAGTCTGCTGACCTGTGCAAATTACATAGTTCTAGTTAGGTACTCATAGTTCTAATTAGGTACCTCTCGAATAGTTAGGTACTCATAGTTCTAGTTAGGGACCTCTCGAATAGTTAGGTACTCATAGTTCTAGTTAGGTACCTCTCGAATAGTTAGGTACTCATAGTTCTAGTTAGGGACCACTCGAATAGTTAGGTACTCATAGTTCTAGTTAGGCACCTCTCGAATAGTTAGGTACTCATAGTTCTAGTTAGGTGCCAAACGCAAATTAAATTTCCAATACATGCCTAATAGAGATACAATAAATTTGTAGGAAGTAAAGTTCTCCCAACAGACGCAGAACTTCACTAAATAATAACGAGTCTGGACAGCGGCTCGTACCTGCCACGGTGCGTGCCCATCCAACACGAGGAGTCCTGGTCGCTGGCGATCTCGCCGCACAGCTGAGGGCTCAGCTCCTCGAGGAATTGCCGGGAGTTCTCCAGCTGCACAACGAGAATCACAATGAGCAACGAACGCAGTAATTCATCAGCTATCAACTGAACTCCCTGTTTCCGGCGAGAACCACTGAGAACATATGGTAGAATATTCACATTTATCTCTCTCAGAATTGAATGGTCGAATTATCAGACAACTGCACATTTTAATTATCTTTAACACAATTGTAATAATTGGAGCAACAAGTACTTTGTTTGAATTCTGTTTATTAAATAATATGCATAGATAACCTTTAAAATATTTCCTTATTTTAGTTTTCGAAAGATTAAATCATGCAAATACTAGCGCTCTCTAGGTTTTATATTCACGGTTATAAAAGCAGCCTGTATCACACACCTTAGTCTTGATCTCCCTGATGAGCGTGTTGAGCGAGGGCGTGTTGGCACCGCGACCTTCAGGACCACTGAAGTCCAACTTCTCCAGCTGCAGCTCTCCACCGCCGCCTCTCACGCCTCCAGCCTCGCCACGGCGACGGCCACCATTCGCCACCTTGCGGCGGCCACTACCAACACGGCGTTGTCCTCCGCCAGGGCGCTGCTTGGCACCATCAGGTCTAACAGGTCGCTGCCGACCACCCTCAGGGGCACTGCTATTGAGTCGGTTACGACGACGTCCTGGTCGTTCATTAGAAGTGACGCTGTTGTTGGAACTCTCTTCACCCCGCTGGGCGTTCCTCTTGTTTACGTTCAGGCTCTCGTGGTCGTCAACACTTGGCAAGTCCTCAGGGTTCACAGCAACGGGAGAAGCTGCTGAAGTTTCGTCCGTGTCTCGCCGAGATCGACCGAGAGACGGCTGACCACAGCCTTGGAAAATCTGTCCCACAAAAGACACAAGTTATAACAAAGGTTGATATCAGTAAAGTTCACTCCTCACGACCACGCATGTCACGGGTCCCGGTGAGCACAGTTCATAATTTCCTCACTACTGCTGTTCTGGGCCTATACTTTCAAAAAAAGTTAAGAGATCGTAACTTCATCAGCCAATTATTGACGGCCTTTCCAGCAAAATCCACCAATCATAGATAAGAAAATAGAGCGTAAGGACTTACGGTAGCTTAGCGAGTTTTGAAAGCATGGCCCATGGTTCTTAAGTTTATTGGCTTTCGAAAGCCACAAGTAGAGCTATACTTAATTGTGCAGACTATTGTGGTAACTATTTAAACTCAAGTACGGAAACAATCACCTAAAATTTACGACACACAAAGTAGCAGATGCAGGCAGTTAATGGAAGAGTTACGCACCATGTTGGAGATATTGGCACCGGCAAGCTGGAAGTTCATGACTGCGTCAGAGATCTGCAAGTTGATGGGGCGTACGACGTTCTCGATGTTGAACGGGTTGAGTAGCCGGTCACCCACCGTCACCATGGCGTCTGCGAACACAAGTCATGTCTCAAGATTGGGATCTACCATGAGGGTACTGAAAATACTGGGAGACGTACGTAATATCAATATGAAATGCAACTGCTCATTGCAATCACGCAAA